GAGGATAGTTTATTTGCAGACTGATCTATTCCCAGATCAAGTTGCCCGTGCTGCTTTATAGCAGTGTGTCCTGAAGCAGACAGGAGGGCAGCCTGGGGTTGGGGAGAGGTATTGAAAACAGGTTCTTGTGATTTCGTGACTTTGGACCGCTATAGTAAATGGCCAGACTGCTGTTGGGCAAGTCTCAGAGGTAGAGATGTGATAAGAGCTGGATATTGCTCTTGGAATGTGTTTTGTTCTTTGTGGCTGCCCTTGCTTTGTCTAAGTCCAACCTGAATACTCCTGGGAGGTTTAATAATTACTTCTCTCAAGTCCTTAAGGGTTGTTCTATTTTTACTTTTAAAAATACCTGCCTTGCAAAGGGTTTGGTTTTTCTGTGGTGTGTTTTTTTTTTTTTCTCATTGGTCTTGTTTTTACAAGCCCCTCTGCAAGCTGGTGGTAGCTATGCAAGGTAGTTTGATGAGTCCTGGGAAATCAATCCCAGTTTCTGTTAGACGTTCAAATGAGTGCAGGTTTTGCAACCTGAAAGCAGAGCACTCAGCATTTTGGACAAAATCCACTTCCCTCAGCAGGCCTTGTGGTGATATGTTCAGCGGTGCTTCTGGTTTGTCTGTAGGATCTTCCTAGCTTTCAGCAGCTGCCTTGTTTTCAGTACATGTAGGTCATAGCTGAACTGTGCTGATATGTATGAACCGTGGGAGGGAGGGTGAGGATTGCTTTTCTTTTTCCACTGCAGGCTGTGGATTGTAAACTTCTTTGGGGCAATTGTAGTTGCACTGGGATAGAGCTGTGGGAGGGAGGGACATCCCCAGGTCGGGTTTGTCGTTCCCCTCCCCATGCTGAGAGCCCTCTTGAACTTGCAGGTTGCCATTGCCGGAGCACCCGTCACGCTGTGGATTTTCTACGACACTGGTTACACAGAGCGCTACATGGGCCACCCGGATCACAACGAGCAGGGGTATTACCTAGGTTCCGTGGCCATGCAGGCTGAGAAGTTTCCTTCTGAGTAAGTATGGTTATGGCTCTTGCCTCCTCCTTTTCCTACCAGGAAAGTTCAAGCCCCACAGACAAGTTTTTATCTCCCTGTTCTTGGCAACTGAGTCCTGGAATCACAAATGCTAGTATTAAATAGTAATTAAAAAAGATAAAACAAACCCAACACTAATAAACTTAACACTTGAATGAATATTTGCATAATTACAGGCCATTCCATGTAATCCCTTTTATATGAGCTGTAATTAAAAACTATCTTTTATGTCTAAATAAATGACAAACATATCGTCAATTCTGATTAGCACTTTAAAGCCACATTAAGCTAGACAAAAATTAGTAGTTCAGGATGCTTTCTGCATGCTCGGAGGCTGTATCCGCATAGAGCTGTCTGCAGACCAGGCTGAGACCATGGGCTTTCTTGCCAAAGAGCTGAAAATCAGCAGTGATTCTGAGCAGGTGTTAAGCCATTGTCCAAGCTAGGAAATGCTTCTGAGAATAAAGAAGATAGACAGATAAAAGGTCTGACCGTGATGTGCATATGCAGGAAGAACTTTTAGAGGAGGAAAGAATAGGTTTGGGAGACATGTCCTTCCAGAGCAATTCACAATAGTGAAATCACTGTCTTCAGTGCAAATATTTTTTTTTCTGCCGAGTGCTGTTGAAGGGGTGTGTGCGGACTGTGAAACGACTGGCAGGTTCTGGGGTGCTGTCTAAAAATGTTTGTCTCTTGGTTTTCTCAGACCGAACCGTTTGCTGCTGCTGCATGGGTTCTTGGATGAGAATGTTCACTTTGCACACACTAGTATTTTACTCAGCTTTTTAGTGAGAGCTGGGAAACCCTATGACTTACAGGTAAGGCCAGAACCAGGATGTAAAGGTAATGTGTCTGTCTTTGAGGAGTCCAGAATTGGAACTTGCAACATGACTGTGCTGGGCAGCTTGGAATTCTAGGATAAAACTGTAGTATTTGAGACTAACATTCTTTCAAAAAGAAGATTTTATGAGTAAACAAAAAAAAATATTAGGCAAATGAGCCGTTAAGAGCAGTTATGGCTGGGGGTGAGGAGATCTGCAGCTTGGAGGCAGTACAGCAGAGTTTTTTCACTGTGGAACAGGGTTACGCATTTAATTAAACCCTGCTGGTTCCGTGCAGATGCAGTCCAGGTATCCCCTCCCATGCTGCAGAACAGGGAGCATGCCCATTTACGTGGTCTGCCTCTGTTCAGCCAGGCTGCTCACCTGCAGCCCAGCAGCAGCTGGAGCAGAGGGTGCCGCGGGTTGTCTCTGCGTTCAGTCGATGGAGGATGGGGTGTATTAGCTCAAGTGTGGAGTTAGTGTAGGGAGATTACATTGATATTTTGAGTGTGGCTCTGGGAACCAGTTTAAATGTTGGTGCCTGCAACTCTTGTGGATACTCATGACTTTATTTTATATATTTTAGATCTACCCTCAGGAGAGACACAGTATAAGGGTACCCGAGTCGGGAGAGCACTATGAACTCCATCTACTGTATTACCTGCAAGAGAATCTGGGCTCTCGTATTGCTGCCCTGAAGGCAATGTGACTGACCTCTGCAGAACTCTGCTCCACTGGCTGCTTTACCGAACGAGGAGATGTAAGAGACTAGAGAAAATAGGATGGGACATTGCATTTTGGTGCCTGCCACATGTACACACACGTACACACACACACACAGAGACACTTTTTTAAAAGTAAATTTGGTGCCATACAGGAAATTGAAGTACGGTGACCTAATAACTTTAAAGCTTGGGGTGTAAATAAAATCAAATGTCTGTGGTATGATGCAGTACCATGGGTGTTCTCTTGGGGGAGGAGCTGAAACTGAAAATAGCGTACTCTACAGCACCAGATCGTCGCTTTTTAGAAGCATTATGACATATTGATGTATTTTTACAGTGTGTTCCTTGGTATGTTATTACATAGTACTGGATGATTTACTCATTACACAGCAGGAGTTTACCTGAATGGTTACAACTTGTATTACATTTTAAATGCTATCATATAGCTTTTGTGCTTCATGAAAGGAATGTGTCTCACTCCTTAGAAGCTGGTCACAAGTTAGATACATCACCTATCTAGATGTTAATTGTTTAAGAAGAAAGACTTTTAAGCTGCCTCCTAAAGAATTTAAATTTTGGATTCAGTTCAGTTGATGCCGGGTTCTTTTCAATGATTTCTTCTCTCCACAGGATAAATCACACTCTTTTTTTAGTTTCAGCAGCTCGAGATCCTATCCTGATTGTACTTGATTTCAGTGGGGAAGTGAAATTATATTTTACTGTGATACAGGCACAACAATCTTTTATTCTGAGATGCAAACTAATTTAAGTCAAAGAGCTGAAAGTCTGTAAATTTTAAAACAAGCTTAAAAGTGCAGCTCATTTCTCATTGACTTTTTCCCTTGATGTTCATTCTGGAGCTGGTTTTGCAATACTGTTTTCTTACTGTCACATCAGCATGGTCTAGGTATATGCATCCCATTATGATTTTAAAATTCCAATACTCTAATTCAAAGGCCTACATAGGATTTAGTGAGGAGAGACCTTACAAACACTACATGTGAGGCAATATGAACTGTTTCGTTGAATTTCCTGCTTTATTTGAGGGTCTGTTTCCCAGGCTCGTGCTCAGTTCAGCTCTCCGTTCCTGGGTCCTTTCTAGCACTGCTGCCTGGCATGATTATGATGCTGTATTTGAGAAACCCTCCCCTGTATAGCTTAAGGTAACCCCGCTGAGCCGAAAGGATATGCAATCCCACTTGTGCTCTTGCTAGTGAGGTTTGAACTCAGCAGAAGGCTTGGCTAAAAAGTATCGTAAGTGTGTGAAGTCACTTTGAGCTTGCAACAGGTCGTTTAAGATGAAAATCCATAGCAAAATGATTCTCTTTAATCCAGGAAATTCTCCCCTTGGGGCTTACCTCTGAAACTCCTGTAAGTTTTAATGGTTTTCTTAGAAATCTAAGAACTTCCTTTTTTTTTTTTCTGTTTCGGTGCTAGAGAGCAGCAGAGCATGATTTTCTTTCCATCTTCTAAAAATCTGGAACCACTCTCAGTGTGTACGCTCTTAGTACTCCACATGTTGTAACCTTGTATTTTCTTTGCTTTTGTACTGTTCAGCTTGATCCTGAAACTCTGGGATTTAACACAGTCTGGCTGTATTCTATCAAACCGCATCGTTTTTCGGTTAGGCTGCTGGGCAGATGCACCAAAGCTGTCAGAGCTGGTGCAGTTACACGGTTGTAAAATCTGTGTGTGAGAACAGGATCCATTTTTCGGGTTACACAAAAGCTAGCCAAAGCAAACAGGCGTGCAGGAAATGCAAATTTCCTCCGAGGTGGGGGTGCTTGGTTTGGGCTGTTTCCTGGTTTTCAGATCACAGTGATTTTTAAGTGGATCAGTTAAAATACCATTAGCAGGTCAATACCAGGCTTACAGTTTTATTTTGGGCAAGGCACGGCAGGGACGGAGGCCAGCTCCTAGAATGTCTTCTCTTAGTTGTTGTGACTGAAGCGAACGCAGCATCCCTGTGGAGTGTGCTATAGTCAGTATGGAGAGTCGGGTAAATCTGCTGGTGCATTTGAGCTCGAGCAGCACGGCAGTGAGTAGAGACAGGTGTAAGCTGTTACGATGGAATCCCATTGTGTTCCTTACGTGTTTATGCTGTATTATATATACATATATCTATATCTGTTCATATATACATATATGTATAAAACTACACGTGGATAGTATCGCCTTTTCCAAGGTTGTTTATATTTTGTTCAATACTAAATTAACTTGCTTTTTGGGGTGTTTTTGTTCTTTTTCTAGAGGTGATTACCCTGGAATGTAAATGTGTATGATTTTTAAGATGAAATTGATCCTTTTGTTTAAAAAACAGAACAAAAACGGCCTTCATCAAACAGTGCTTTTTTGGGAACTGAAGAACTAAATGTTATGCAAGCAAACCAGGCTAGGTTTTGATTTGGCACAGGATGTGATTATAAGTACTGACATATAACTTTCTAATAATGCATCCTTTCACTGTTTTAACTATATATATCGAAAAGCTATTAAAGTACAACGTACTGTAAGTACTCTGCAACATAAATTATGTATTACCTGCTGTCCTACAGATGTTTTTTCTTTCCACTGTAGTTAAGCACTTTAAGACCCCATGCTCTCTTACCTTGTGGAAGTGCTGGGAGGATTTATCATCAGAATTTTGTAGTTCTTGCAAAAGACACCTGTTTGTAGGTGAAGGTGTGAGAGATGCCTTACGTGAGGTCTGATCCAGCCCTACGCAGTCAACAACTACATTCCCAGTGACACGGGAAGAAGGGCAAAGCCCGTTGCAACTGCAGAGGTGAGAAGGTGTTAGTGCTGAGGACCGCTGCGTCAGTGCTGCTGGGGGGAGTAGTAGTCCTGCACCTCGTGTGGGAAAGTGTCGGTCCGGCACTGGGCCAGAGCGGTGGCTTTGCCCTGCTCTGCGCCGCTGGGGTCAGCTGCTCCAGGTTGTGCCTTGTGGTCCAGGAGATGGTAGTGTCACTCAGGAAGAGGTTTCCAGCCTGTTTGATGTTTGGGATTATACTTTGTCACTTCTTGTATGTTAAAAAAAAAGTCTTGGTTAGTGCAAGTTTTAAGCAGAACTAGTGAGATCCTGGGGGAGCGCCTGCGAGGGAGGTTGTCTGTGGAGGAAAAACACGTGAGAAGGAACCATCCCTGTGGCTCCCGGCCCACACGTTGGTGTGTCCCCTTGGGGACCTTCTGCCTTCAGCAGAGGTCTGCCCCGAGCCCGGCAGGACACCTGCTCTGCGCAGGAGCAGGACTGAACCTTCATTGCATGGTGGATATGAGTTGCAGAGGTGTCTTTGAGATGAAAGTTTTAATTTCATACATTTAAAGTAGTATATATGGAATATGGGGATCTGAGTGATGAAATACTGGAGTGGTTGGGTGTTGATGCCAGCAGTTTCTGCTCGTTTGCAGTGGCTGGGCTTGGTTGTGCTTGTTTCTCATAGAAGCACGTTGTTTCGCCCCGTTTCAAGGCAGCTTCCAGTAATTCCTCTTGAGTGTGCAATGCGCAAAGCTGTTGGGTTTCACCCCCTTTATGTCTTCTTATTCAGAACAAAGTAGAATTAATAACTACCCAGAACTGCCTAATTTTTATAAGCTCCAATAACTTGTTTGTGAATGAAATCGTGAGTTCAAAACACCAAGTAAAGCTTTGGAAATCTACTAACTTCATTGTACTAGAATGGAAAATGCATTCCCTACTTACTGGTGGCATTTGGGCATAGGCCATGGAGATACTTTCCGAGCAGGATGGTGTAGTAACGCTGTAACCCCAGAGCGCCGTATGTCTGAGCCTGTGTGGCAAATTACGGAGAGTTCACAAGCTCCGCGCCCGGGGTTCCCGACCCTGACTCCCCACCAGGAAAAGCAGGTTGTGTTTCTGCTGTGTGTGTCCGTGTGTAAGGCAGGCTGTTGTGCTGCTGGCGTGAGGCTCAACCATTAACGAGGCAATAATAGAGTATAAATAAAGGAAATAATCAGCCAGATTAGGACACTGCCTTGAATTGCCTGTTTACTTGAGTACCAGAACCCTGTAAAGACTTTTAGTGTGTCCCTCGCGGTTCTCCGGGCCGCTCCTTTGGAAGGGGAAGAGAGATCTTCATGCGGTTTTTACTTGGATGTTCCGCACAGTAGAAGTTCAGGTGTTTAAATTTAGAACATGAAGTGCCTGCTGTTTGCGTTAACAGAATTGCATGTCTCACTCCAGTGGGTTTATTGGTCTCCCTCCCTCCCCTACCTTTCTAGCTACATGGCTTTTAATCATGTAAAGTGGAGACATTAGTTTTGCTGCATTTTATTACAAAACCTTTGTTGCAATAAAGATGCTGCTAAATAAATTGAATTAAATGGTTTTTCCCCCTGTATTTTGAACGGTCTCTTCCTGATCCAGTAGAGTTTGTGTGTAATTAAATCTCTTCCCTCATTGCGCTGTGGAAAGAGGCAATGATGGAAAACGTGCGTGCATGTTTTATATACTTGTCGGGGAGTTTAGCAAAAGCATCTGCGATTTTCCCTGTCCCTCGTGGTTAGGGAAACTGATATAAACAGGAAGAGCAGGCGTTTGCTTGGCACAACCGCGTTCCCGCTCCTAAACGTTCCCTTGCGAACGCGGTTGGCAGCCCTCGGCAGCCAGCAGCCGGAGCTGTCGCACCGGGTACGGCACGGCCGCAGCTTCGCTGGCCGAGTGCCACCGGGGAGGAGGTGGCCTGGTGCCGAGGCAGAAGGACAGAGGGACCTGTGAGCAGTGGACGGGCTCTGCCAAGAGGAGAGATGTCTCCTCGTGCAGTCGCCTCATGCTTGGCCTCGTGGATGCCTTTGTGAGCAGTATGGGCTTTGCAGGCACCCTGGTTCTGCTTAGTGCTGCCCTGAAGGGGCTGGGGGGTCTCAGGGCAGTCACAATTCCCCTTTTTGCTCATTCATCCTGATTTTTCACCCACGTGGAAGCACCCCCTATTTTGGTGGCTTTCAGAAATACGCTGGTAACCAGCCGTGTGTTGATACATTGCATTGTGCATCCCTCTGGGGTTTCTGTAGGCCCTACCATAACATGGCAAAGCTTCCCCAGGAGCCTTCAGCAGCCCTTGTGCAACACAAGCTGGGACGCGAGTGTCTCACCAGCGACTGGTTGTGGGTGTTTGGGTTGTGGCTGGAGGAGGGACGTGCTTGTGCCTTTGAGCTGGATTTGCAAGTGTGTGCCAGTAGGTCGAGGGAGATTCTCCTTCCCC